GCATACAAGTCTTTTGTCTCCCTAGGTAGGTTTATTCCTAGGTATTTTATTCTTTTTGTTGCAATGGTAAATGGCACTGTTTCCTTAATTTCTGTTTCAGATCTTTCATCATTAGTGTATAGGAATGCAAGAGATTTTTGTGCATTAATTTTGTGTCCTGCAACTTTACCAAATTCATTGATTAGCTCTAGTAGTTTTCTGGTGGCATCTTTAGGATTCTCTATGTACAGTATCATGTCATCTGCAAACAGTGACAGTTTTACTTCTTCTTTTCCAATTTGCATTCCTTTTATTTCTTTTTCTTCTCTGATTGCCGTGACTAGGGCTTCCAAAACTATGTTGAATAATAGTGGTGAGAGTGGACATCCTTATCTCGTTGCTGATCTTAGAGGAAATGCTTTTAATTTTTCACCATTGAGAATGATGTTTGCTGTGGGTTTGTCATATATGCCCTTTAGTATGTTGAGTTAGGTTCCCTCTATGCCCACTTTCTGGAGAGTTTTTACCATAAATGGGTGTTGAATTTTTGTCAAAAGCTTTTTCTGCATCTGTTGAGATGATCATATGGTTTTTATTTTTCAGTTTGTTAATGTGGTGTATCACATTGATTGATTTGCATATATTGAAGAATCTTTGCATCCCTGGGATAAATCCCACTTGATCATGGTGTATGATCCTTTTAATGTGTTGTTGGATTCTGTTTGCTAGTATTTTGTTGAGGATTTTTGCATCTATATTCATCAGTGATATTGGTCTGTAGCTTTCTTTTTTTGTAGTATGTTTGTCTGGTTTTGGTATCAGGGTGATGGTGGCCTCATAGCATGAGTTTGGGAGTGTTCCTTCCTCTGCAGTTTTTTGGAAGAGTTTGAGAAGGATGGGTGTTAGCTCATCTCTAAATGTTTGATAGAATTCACCTGTGAAGCTGTCTGGTCCTGGACTTCTGTTTGTTGGAAGATTTCTTTTTTTTTCTTTTTTTTCTTTTTTTGCAGTACACGGGCCTCTCATTGTTGTGGCCTCTCCCGTTGCGGAGCACAGGCTCTGGACGCGCAGGCTCAGCGACCATGGCTCACGGGCCCAGCCGCTCCGCGGCATGTGGGATCTTCCTGGACCAGGGCACGTGGGATCTTTTCGGACCGGGACACGAACCCGTGTCCCCTGCATCGGCAGGTGGACTCTCAACCATTGCGCCACCAGGGAAGCCCTTCGGTTCTTTTTTGTAGGTCCTTTTCTTCTCTTGTGTTTCCCACTTAGAGAAGTTCCTTTAGCATTAGTTGTAGAGCTGGTTTGGTGGTGCTGAATTCTGTTAGGTTTTGCTTGTCTGTAAAGCTTTTTATTTCTCCATCGAATCTGAATGAGATCCTTGCAGGGTAGAGTAATCTTGGTTGTAGGTTCTTCCCTTTCACCACTTTAAGTATATCATGCCACTCCCTTCTGGCTCGTAGAGTTTCTGCTGAGAAATCAGCTGTTAACCTTATGGGAGTTCCCTTGTGTGTTATTTGTTATTTTCCCCTTGCTGCTTTCAATAATTTTTCTTTGTCCTTCATTTTTGCCAATTTGATTACTGTGTGTCTTGGCGTGTTTCTCCTTGGGTTTATCTTATATGGAACTCACTGCGTTTTCTGGACTTGGGTGGCTATTTCCTTTCCCATGTTAGGGAAGTTTTCGACTATAATCTCTTCAAATATTTTCTCTGGTCCTTTCTCTCTCTCTTCTCCTCTGGGACCCCTATAATGCGAATGTTGTTGCGTTTAATGTTGCCCCAGAGGTCTCTTAGGCTGTCTTCATTTCTTTTCATTCTTTTTTCTTTAGTCTATTCTGCAGCAGTGAATTCCACCATACTGCCTTCCAGGTCACTTATCCGTTCTTCTGCCTCAGTTATTCTGCTATTGATTCCTTCTAGTGTAGTATTCATTTCAGTTACTCTAATGTTTATCTCTCTTTGCTTGTTCTTTAATTCTTCTAGGTCTTTGTTAAACATTTCTTGCATCTCCTTGATCTTTGCCTCCATTCTTTTTCTGAGGTCCTGGATCATCTTCACTACCATTATTCTGAATTCGTTTTCTGGAAGCTTGCCTGTCTCCACTTTATTTAGTTGTTTTTCTGGGGTTTTATCTTGTTCCTTCATCTGGTACATAGCCCTCTGCCTTTTCATCTTGTCTGTCTTTTTGTGAATGTGGTTTTTGTTCCACAGGCTGCAGGATTGTAGTTCTTCTTCTGCTGTCTGCCCTCTGGTGGATGAAGCTGTCTAAGAGGCTTGATGGAAGGGACTGGTGGTGGGTAGAGCTGACTGTTGCTCTAGTGGGCATAGCTCAGCAAAACTTTAATCCGCTTGACTGCTGATGGGTGGGGCTGGGTTCCCTCCCTGTTGGTGTTTGGCCTGAGGCAACCCAACACTGGAGGCTCCCTGGGCTCTTTGGTGGGGCTAATGACAGACTGTGGGAGGGCTCACGCCAAGGAGTAATTCCGAGAACTTCTGCTGCCAGTGTCCTTGTCCCCACGGTGAAACAGAGCCATCCCCCAACCTCTGCAGGAGACCCTCCAACACTGGCAGGTAGGTCTGGTTCAGTCTCCCCAGGGGTCACTGCTCTTTCCCCTGGGTCCTGATATGCACACTACTTTGTGTGTGTCCCCCAAGAGTGGAGTCTCTGTTTCCCCCAGTCCTGTTGAAGTCCTGCAGTCATTTCTCACTAGGCTTCAAAGTCTGATTCTCTAGGAATTCCTCCTCCCATTGCCAGACCTCCAGGTTGGGAAGCCTGACATGGTGCTCAGAACCTTCACTCCAGTAGGTGGACTTCTGTGGTATAAGTGTTCTCCAGTCTGTGCGTCACCCACCCAGCAGTTATGGGATTTGATTTTACTGTGATTGCGCCCCTCCTACCATCTCATTGTGGCTTCTCCTTTGTCTTTGGATGTGGGGTATCTTTTTTGGTGAGTTCCAGTGTATTCCTGTCGATGATTGTCCAGCAGCTAGTTGTGATTCTGGTGTTCTCGCAGAGCATGTCCTTCTACTCCGGGTATCTTTTTGAGTTCCAGTGTATTCCTGTCGATGATTGTCCAGCAGCTAGTTGTGATTCTGGTGTTCTCGCAGAGCATGTCCTTCTACTCCGCCATCTTGGTTAAATCCACTATGTTTTTTACTTTGGGACATGCAGAGTTTCCTTGGAAAGAATAGAAAAATAATAACTGTAAATAGAAAAATTAGATAATTTTCACTTCGCCAAAATTAGACACTTCTGCTTGTCAAACATTAGGAAGAAAATGGAAAAAAAATTCAGAGCCTTGGAGCAAATGCTCTTCTTATCTATCTGTCTATCATCTGGCAATGACTGTTTCTGATGTAATAGCAGGATCAGAAAAAAATTGGAAGTCCTGGTGATACTTGAAAGTACACTGTCAGGAGTATACTTATAATAGAAACCAGATTTCAGGGACCTAAGGAGGATAGGGTTATAAATCACTAGTTCAAGGAAAGGATTAAATGATAATATTAATAGCATGAAATTCAAGCAAAAGTTTTTTTGTTTTTGTTTTTTCCTTTTTAGAGACATAAACAAGGCAGAAGGAGGCAGGGAGGGACAAGATGCAAGAGAGAGGGGGGTTACATGCAAATGCAAGATTCCTTGAATATCAAGAAGGAATGGGATCAAAAGCAAGAACCGAAGGCTTTAGTTTTTTGAAGGTAGCTACCTTTTTGTCTAAGGTGGAAGAATGAGGAATGGCCAGGGAAGATATATGCAGGTACAGGAATGCTAATAAACATGGAAGGATGGCCATTATCCATGTAGTCCTCTATCCAGATGAAGATAGAAGGTAATGAAGGGAACTTTAAAGGGTAATATCTATAGGAATAGCTCTTAACCTTTAGGAGAGGAATGTCAGGGTACATGGAAGTGGTCTAGTGTAATTTATTTGTAATCCTGAATTCTGATAATATCCTCCCTACTCCCTTTGAGAATCAATTATTTATGTCAGTTCTAAGGTTTTTTCAGTAGAGAATTAGCAGACATGGATAAAATAATTTTTAAGAGTTTAATTGAACTTTAACTAGAATTTGTGGTGCTTTAGTTTGCATAGTAGCAGTTGCAGGAGGGCACTCATTTTCCCCCCTTAATTTTCAGGGTTATTGTTTAATAATAGATATTACCTCAGTTATCTGCTTGATATATGTGTGTTTTCTGTCTGATAGAAACTGAAAACTATCAACTGTACAAAAATTTTTGGGGATGTGATAGTAATAAGAATCTTCCCAGTTTGAAATTAGTCAGATAAAGTATATATAAAGCAAAATAAGTAATAATACCACTTAGTGCCAAAATTCTGTATCAGCTTAGAATAGTGAGATTGCATTATGAGAAGTGGTATTTTTCAGGCTATGGACCTGGGTCCATTAATGGCTCATGAAATCAGTTTAATAGCTCACAATCAGTGTTTTTCCTTTTTAATGGACTAGAATAGAGTAGAAAATATTGGAGTGTACTGCATACTGTAAGAAGTATTTGTGGAACTTTTAATATATGTATGTATGTGTGTACTGATTTGGGTGAAAATATATGTCTTAATGTAGATTGCAGTCAAAAGTATTGGAGGGGCTTCCCTGGTGGCGCAGTGGTTGAGAGTCCGCCTGCTGATGCAGGGGACACGGGTTCGTGCCCCGGTCCGGGAAGATCCCACGTGCCACGGAGCGGCTGGGCCTATGAGCCATGGCCGCTGAGCCTGCACGTCCGGAGCCTGTGCTCCGCAACGGGAGAGGCCACAACAGTGAGAGACACTCATACCCCCCAAAAAAAAAAAAGTATTGGAAATCCACCATCACCATAGATTATTTTGATAAATAATTGTGGACATTATAAAAATCTTTAAGTCCTTACTTTCATTTGTTTTTAGAATTCACTAAGTTTATATTTACATCTGAACTAATTACATACACATACTTTGTGCTGTGTGTATATAAATACATATATATGTATGTGCATGTACTTTTTTTTTTTTTATCTTAATAGGTGCAATGGATGAGCTTCATAGTCTGGATCCAAGAAGGCAAGAATTATTGGAAGCTAGATTTACAGGAGTTGCAAGTGGGAGCACTGGGAGCACGGGCAGTTGCAGTGTTGGAGCTAAAGTGAGTAAAATTGTAATCTTTATTTGACATTTTTTCCTTGTATTAAATGATATAAAATATATTTTGTAAAGGATCCCTACATACGTACTTAACAGCAAATTATACTGATTATAATTTTTACAATGTGTAGAAAAAAATCCAGTGTTTTTATACCTGATTTCTAGTATAGCATAATATATTTTGGGGCATTATGTTATAATGTAGTGTAACAGGTTATAGGTTTCAGGGATAAAAAGGATCTTGGTAGATTGTACTGCCTTTCTCCCATTTACATAATTTTTACCTCTCCTGTCCTTTGTTTTTGATTCTTCCTTGCCCCAACACCCATGTTTCTATTGTGTGTTTCTATCTGTACACTAATCCACTGCTGCTCACTGCTGCATAAACTTAATAGTGTATATGTTGGGCCTTCCAGTGGTAGATATCAGGCTGTCTCCAGCTCCCCACTACCTCACACTGCAGTGAATTTCTTGTAATTGTTCCCTTATGGAACTTTGTGAGCATTTGTTTAGAATATATTCCCAAGAGCAGAATTGATAAGGCATAGGGTATGTATAGATTTAAATTGAATAAACAGCACAAGATTGCTATTCAGAACAGTTCTGTAAAACTAACCTGCACTCTTAGCAGATTAGTTTTATACAACTGTTTCTATATCTCCATATCCCAGAAACACTTTGCATCATCCAGATTCCTCATTTTTGATAGTCCAGTTGGTACAAAATAATGTATCTTTGTCTTACTTGTACCACCAATTATTTTGAGCATTTCTTCAATGCTTGTTAGCTTTTTGGGAGTCTTATAAATTGTTCCAGTTCTTTGCCTAGTTTTCTGTGAGAATTACTTTCTTTTTCAAACTGATTTTCCCATGTTCCTTGTATATTCTACATATTTATTCCATATTGATTACATACAGGGCAAATAACTTTTGCTGTTTTGTCATGTCTGTTAACTTTGTTCATGGTATCCATCATTGTACAGAACTATTTAATTTTGTTGTATTCAAACCCACCAATTTTTTTGCTTTATGGTTTGTACCTAAGAAAAACAGTCGTCACCATTAACCATCTGGGTCAAATAGACCTTTTTGCTATGTTTATATTTTGTTATTTTACTAATTTACAACAATAAGAATAAAACTATAATGAAAAACAACTTTATTAGAAATTTTAATATGAATTTAAACATACTGAAAAATCACTTTGTATCAAGTAAATCTTGGTGCACAAACATCATAAAAGATGAAGGATATTGTTATGTGTCCTTTGAGCATAATGAAATGGTCCAGGTTCTTGTTGCAGAATATTGCATGGTAAAGTCCTTCAGTTGAACGACTTAACTGATGAGAATACCATGTTTCCCTTTTTTTTCCCCTTAGAAATATATTGTCCAATTCATTGATTCTTGAATTTGAGAAAATTCATCTAGGATACTGTCATTTGAAGACTCAGATTTCATTTATACAGTCAGTGTCACCAGTTTTAGGTGCTGTTATCTCTTTGTATTTATTTTCTGATTTGTCTAATAATTATAAATTGTCTCTGTCATTTTCTTCTCTTGATTATCTTAAGTGGAAAATGAAAATTTCTTAATTCTCAGCTGGAGTCAGTGAAAGCTAAAATCAGACTCCAAAGATGGTTTCGTAGTCATTTATACATTTTTGAAAGATGATGTGGTACTTTGGGCAAGGCAAGAAGACAACTAAAAGATCATAATTTATTTGACTATTGCATTGTCCTTTTAGGTCATTAAATCTGTGTTGTTTTTCTATTTCTACTATAATAAATTATCACCAAGTTGCTCAAAACAGTACAGGTTTATTATCTTACGGTTCTGTAGCATCAGAAGTCTGACACCACTCTCATTGGGCTAAAATCAAGGTGTCTGCAAGGCTGCATTCCTTTCTGGGGGCTCTAGGGAAGGATCTTTTTGCCTTGCCTTTTCCAGCTTTGAGAGGCTCCCTGCATTCCTTGGGTGGTGGTTTCCTTCCTCCATCTTCAAAGGCAGCAATGTTGTATATCTCTTACGGTTCTTTGGCAGCCACATGTTTTGGACCATAGCCTAGAAGGTTCTTCACTTTTAAGTACTCGTGATTAGATTGGGCCCACCCCAATTTGGATAACCTGGTATAATTTCCCCAACTCAAAATTCTTATCCTTAATCACATCTGCAAGTCCCTTTTGCCATGTAAAATAACAGATTCTGCTGTTCAGGGCATGGACATCACTGGGAGGCCAATATTTTGCCTATCATACCATCATTCTTCCATTTTCTTTTTATTTTAGTGGTTTTTCTTTGTATTAGCATAGTTGGGAATAATTGATGAACAGTGATAAGTAATGATGAGTTCCTAGGATGGTATAATAACAAAATAGAGGAAAAGTAAGATCAGTAAGATCCCGTAATGTATTGTAGATTGATGAAAGGCCAGTGGACATCTGGTAATTAATTGCAAGCTAGAATGTGTTTTATTCTATTAAAAATAAATCTTAGTTTTATTCTATGGATGATCTCTAAGAAAGAATAAAAATCCTGAAATATTAATTATTATAAACAGAATTACTTGAAAAAGAAGCTAAAAAACTAAAATTGGGTCCAGTGGACTCTGATGGTATATTCTAAAAGTTAAATACTTCTTCCTCACCCCTGAGGCACAAAGATATTCTGCAGCTCCTTCTATTAATTGTACAGTTTTACTTTTATATTTACTCTTTAGTCCGGGGCCTTATCTTTTACATAGTCTTGTTAGAGATCGAGTTTTATTTTTCTCCATGTAGTAAACCAGTTTTCTCCACAATGCTTCTTAAATTATCCATATTTTCCCACTGACTTGTGCTGGCACCTGAATCATATATTAAGTTGCCATGTGTATATACCAATCTGTGTCTGAGATTTCTCTAATGTTCTGATGGTCTCTCTGTGTTCTTGTGCCAGTATCACATAAAAAAGAATACAGTTGTATTTTGGTATGTCTTCTTTATATGGTAGAGCAAGTCTCTCCTTTAATCTTCTTTTGTAAGGTTGACCTCATTATTTATGGATCTTTATTCCCTCATATAAAATTTGAGCATCTCTTTATTTGCTTGTTAGCATTTGGGGATTATTCTTCTATAATAACTTATTTGTATGTTTTCCCTTAAAAGATTCAAATGGAATTTTTATTCTGAATGCACTGAATTTATAGATTAATTTTGGGAGTACTGAAATCTATAAGATTAGGTTGTCCCATCCAAGTACATGAAATGTCTTTCCATTTGTTCAGTTCTCTCTGTAGAGGTCTTAAGAATTCTTGGCTAGTTTTTATGAATATGGGGGGCTTATTCCTGGATACTTTAAAGTTTTTGTGGCTGAAGTATTTTCTATTATATTTTCTATTTGGCTATTGCTGACCTAGGGTTTTTAAAAATTTTTATAGGCTGGTCTTGTATGTAGCAGTCTTGCTTTTGTCTCTTATTGGTTGTACTACTCTGTTGATTCTCTAGGTTTCTCTAAGAGAAATAGTTATCTTCCCCCAATTTTTTTTTTTTTTATATTGGTCATGAGCTTCAGTACTATGTCTTGTTGAGAAGGAATCATCTAAAGTTTCTCCATTAAGTGTTGTGTTTGTTATAGGTTTTGTGTGTATAACCATGACCAAATTACAGAAGAACTTTTCTGTTACTGGTTAGTTAAGAAGTTTCTGTTTGTTTTAAAAATAATAAGTATAACAAATTTTTAAAAAAAGTTGAAGTTTGCATTGCTGTGATAAACCCTACTTGGTTATGATACACTATTCATTCATTTTTGGCTGTGATGGGTCTTCGTTGCTGCACATGGGCTTTTCTCTAGTTGTGGCGAGCAGGAGCTACTCTTCATTGCAGCGTGCGGGCTTTTCACTGTGGTGGCTTCTCTTGTTGTGGAGCGTGGGCTCCAGCCGTGCGGGCTTCAGTAGTTGTGGCATGTAGGCTCAGTAGTTGTGGCTCGTGGGCTGTAGAGCACAGGCTCAGTAGTCGTGGTGCATGGGCTTAGTTGCTCCGCGGCATGTGGGATCTTCCTGGACCAGGGCTCAAACCCATGTCCCCTGCATTGGCAGGCAGATTCTTAACCACTGTGCCACCAGGGAAGTCCCTGATACACTATTTAAAAAAATACTTTATTAGGGGACTTCCCTGGTGGTCCAGTGGTAAAGAATCTGCCTTCCAGTGTAGGGGACGCAGGTTCGATCTCTGGTTGGGGAACTAAGATCCCACATGCTGTGGGACAAATAAGTCTGCGCACCACAACTACTGAGCTCACGCGCCTCAACGAGAGAGCCTGCATGCCGCAAACTACAGAGCCCATGCGCTCTAGAGCATGCACGCCACAACTAGAGAGAGAAAACCCTCACGCCACAACTAGAGAGAAGCCCATGCACTGCAACGATGTCCCGACGCAGCCAAAAGAATAAAGATAAATAAATATTAAAAAATACTTTTGGATTTAATACATGATTAACTATTTTAGTTAGGATTTTTACATATATGCTTATAAGAGAAATAGATGCACAGACCTGAAGAGTAATAATTTAGTGAGTTTTGACAAATGTGTACACTCGTAGTAATCCATTTTCCTTTTAAGATACAGAACAGTTTCATCACTCTACCTTGTCTGTTTTATAAAACAGTGTCACACTAGCCCCATAAAATGAACTGCTGCTTCTTTCACTATTTTCAGTTTTTTCAACATCCTGTATGTGGTACAAAATGTTCATGGGAAGATAAGTAGACATTTACCTGTAAAATTGTCTTGGCCTGGGGTTTTTTGCAAGGAAGGTCTTTCACTACCATCTAAATTTCTTTAATATTACTTAGTTTATTAATCTATTTCAATTAAGCTTTTCAAACTTATTAGTGTATGGTTATAACACTTAAAAAAATCTCCTTTGTTATTTCATTTCCGTTTATTCTTCCAGTTCTTTTCTGTTCATTCTTGGCCAGAGCTCTGACTAATCAAAGAAACAGATATTGGTTTTAATCTATTTC